GGGGTTTTTTCCCTCCAGCAGCCAGCTGGTTGGCACTGGTTCCCCAGTGTGACACCTCCATATTTTACAGTTATTAAACAAAATTTCACCTATAGCCCCAATATGATCCTAATTATGAAGCGGGATGGGAAAGCTCTGCCCACATCACATCGTGTTTGCTCAAGAGAGGGGACAGACTTGTCCCCTTCAGGCTGTGTTCGCTGCATCCCTCAGCACTAATGTGATTTATACGTCTGTGAAGGGAGGGTCAGGCCTGTTGCAGCTGGAGCTGGTTGATCAAATGCTAGGTATCTTCCTGTGTCTTCAGAGAGTTTTGTCTCAAACCACTATTTTAAAATATTTTTTTACCCGTGCTTTTTTCTGCAGTGCATTTTTGCTGCAAGATTAGACAAGCAGTTTACTCTGGACTGTAGCTCAAGCTTCGCAAGCGTGTATGTGTATATAATCTATAAATCTGCTGGGAATTTTATTAGAAACGCACAATTAAGTGAACTTCATTGGCTACCTGGCAGAGTGGGAAGCTGGTGATGGGGAGAGATGGGCAGTTCCCCACATCCATCTTAATGTCGCCAAGCCCCGGGAGGTGTTCGGTGGTTCGCATGGTCATTTGTTTGTGTCATGAAATCATTGAACACAACTGGGGGAGGCTGCGAGTCTCGCCGGCGCGGCCCGGCAGCGAGGCGGCAGGTGGATGCTGAGCACCGGGATTGATGTCTATTGGCAGGAGGAGGTTGCTCAAAGGCAGCCGGTGCGATGAGACGTTGCTATCCATCGATCTCTGCTTCTCCAAAGCATGAAACGCCATCGGGTCCTGCCACCTTGCAGCCCCAGCGTGGTGATACGGGGTTCTGCTCTTCTGGGCTTCTCTTTGTCTCTCTAAAATCTGAGCACAATGCATTGGCACGCGTGATTTTTTTTAATACCAAATAATGAAATGGGAGCAGCAGAGAGACAATCAGTTTTCTGTCTCGGCTTTTTTTTTTTTAATTTCCCGAGCTGGTTTAGTTGAACGCAGGCATTTCGTTACGTGAGGAACGCTCTCCAGTGCCGTGTCTGACAGCAGAAGCCCTCCCAGGCTGCAAGCACCCCTCCGCCGTGGGCTCAGGGTCATGCGTGGTTTTTCTCCGGTGCTTTTGCAGCCATCCTCAAGCCCACGGCGGAGGTGTGAAGGTCAGAGCCACTTGCTGCAGCTTCATTCCCCACCTCGGCAGTGTTTCTGGGGGGGTGATGACGGAGGGCAGAAGTTCCCTACAAAGTTTTTGCAGACCCCACCTGGCCTTTCAAGTACAGCAGCCAAAAGCAGTTTACATGCACACACCGTGTGTAAATGTTTGTCTGCTCTTCTAAGGGACCCAGCCGTATTGCAGAGGCGATACCCCAGATTTTACAAGGGGCTTGCAAAAGAAGTGTGCGCTACCACATTACCCGAATCTGCATCCTTAAAGGCTTCCCTCTTGCTATTTAATTTACCTTTTCTCCTTCACAAACAGTTTCTACAGAGAGCAGCTATCTTATTTTTAGGCAGGAACTGCACAGAGTATGTCACTCGCTGGCTGGATAGTTCTTCTTGATATTAACTGCACAGCTTTGTCATATGCCTCAGAATTGGTTTCATATGACAAAAGATTTGTCTTTTGAGGAGTCTAGACAGTGTCCCTAGTGAACTGGCACTTAAATGATGATCTAAAATCTCTCCCCCATCTACCAACAGCAAGATTTTGATGTCTTTGTCTCTCATATTTTAGCAGCCTTGGTTTCAGCTTTTGATGCAGAAGTGTATGATTTTTAAACCAATATGGACTTTGCCTGAATTTCCTTGACAATGAGTGATTGCATCCATCGCTTCTGCATGCCAAATTAACGGAGTTCTGCCCAGCAGCTGGTATCATTTACTGAGTGCTACCACGACGGGGCTTACGGGAAGCAAAAGCGGCATCAACATAATATGCCGGGTTTAGCCGGAGAAAAGGTGTTAATGGCCCTCTGGAAGGATGGTGTCCATCACACAGCTTAAGCTCCCAGGTTCCTCGGGAGATACCAGGTTACCCCCCAAGGAAAGCTCCGCTGCTCAGTTGATTTCTTGGCTGAATTGGGGTTCCAAAAATTGGGTTTATTTCTGGGCGTAGGTTGGACACATCGTTTTCCAGCGGGTTGGATTCCTTGCTCTGGATTTCCCTCCCAGCGCCGTTTCTAGGGTGATGTGCAGAGGGCTCAGCCGGGTCTCTGCTGTTTTCTAACCCCACGTGTTTCTGTTGCTCGCCCAGGTCTGGTACATGGACAGCTACCACAACAACCGCTTCGTCCGTGAATATAAATCCATGGCAGATTTCATGAATACTGACAATTTTACCTCTCACCGTCTCCCTCACCCATGGTCGGGCACCGGTCAAGTGGTCTACAATGGCTCTATCTATTTCAATAAATACCAAAGCCACATAATTATCAGGTTTGACTTGAAAACAGAGACCATTCTCAAGACTCGCAGCCTGGATTATGCCGGCTACAACAACATGTACCACTATGCCTGGGGTGGCCACTCGGACATTGACCTCATGGTGGATGAGAACGGGCTGTGGGCCGTCTACGCCACCAACCAGAACGCAGGCAACATCGTCATCAGCAAGTTGGACCCCAACACCCTGCAGAGCCTCCAGACCTGGAACACCAGCTACCCGAAACGCAGCGCCGGGGAGGCCTTCATCATCTGTGGCACGCTCTATGTCACCAACGGCTACTCGGGAGGTACCAAGGTGCACTATGCCTACCAGACCAATGCCTCCACCTACGAGTACATCGACATCCCCTTCCAAAACAAGTACTCGCACATTTCCATGTTGGACTACAACCCCAAGGATCGGGCCCTCTATGCCTGGAACAACGGGCACCAAATACTTTACAATGTCACCCTCTTCCACGTCATCAGGTCTGACGAGTTGTAGTCCATCCTTGTGTAGAAACTGATTTAGAAAAGATAAAAAAGGAAAAAAGGGAGAAACGAATTTTGGAAAAAAAATACTAATATCAAGGAAACACACTTTAAATAAGTAAATATATAAACAGCTGCCAAAATTAAGACCAACATCATGGAGGATAATTCAGCATAAACCTGACAGATCATCATTACCTCTGCATTTCTAGAAGTCTGGCCCTGTGTTATAGACTCACGAATAACCATGTACTTGCAGCTGGAACTGCACTTAAAGAACCACTTAAGTTTTGGGTTTTGTTTTGTTTCTGTTCTGATAGCAAGCGTATAGTACATACTAAAGAAGTAAGGCAATGACTGTTGAAAGTTTATCCGCGGGAGACTCGCTCTCCTCTGTGTGTGGGTTGCATGGACATTTTCCCGGCATCGCGGTCAGCTATGATGGATGTGTGATTTGTATTTCTAAGCAGAAAAAGCTGCCCCGTGAGGAGCTCTCGCTGTCTGAACAAGACCTATCAGAGGTTAGTTTTCTTTGCCTTCCATTGCAGCTACTGTCTCTCAACTGTGTTCTTGTCACTTAGATTAACTGTGCTGAGACCCGAAGTAGCTCATGGATCTGTGTCTTAGTAACTATTAAACACGATGGTTTAAGTATGTATTATGAACAAGTTGTTGTACCCATATTGTTTGAACTTATGTATTCAGCAAATATATTGTATAATGTATGTCTGTTATTTACCAGAGGTGGCAAAACTTTGTATGTCCAGTTTATGCAATGAATGTTGTAAATGCAATGATGTAGTTTGGATTAATAAATGATGGTTTTGTTTCTAAAAAGAAAAAAAAAGATCAGTGTTCACCCTTATACACAGATAACCAATTTCATGTTGATAATTACAAGAATATTCTCTTACTGTTATACTATCTACATAGCATTATGGTGGTTGAAACTTGCTTCTGTGGAAATTCTGTGGCATCAGATTCCCATGGGAAGTCCTGTTTATGGAAGTGTGAAGGTAATTAATTTTTTTTTAAGAGGAAAACTTTGTACTATCCACAGTTATCTAAGGAACAATAAAAATATTAGGAGACTTCCCTGCTTTGTTCGTTGTCTTCTCTGTACGAGTGGACAAGTGTAGGGGAGGGGTAACAGGAATTATTGCGGGGGTTTTGGGTAATTGCTGAGCAACCATCCCGACTTTCCGTACTTCTTGAATCGAGTGGTACCTGGTAGGTAGCTGCCGCAAGGAGCCAGAGGCTGAGAAGCTGGAGGGTTTGGCTCTGCGCTCCGCAGGGGCTCGGGCAGCGAGATCGCCTTCCCGTTTGCGTTCGGAGCAGATACTGCTTCGAGGAGATAAAATCCTGCCCCTGCTCCCACGGCTGCTCTCCGCTGTGACGG